CTTATAATGTGTTTGGAAAGTGATAACCTTGGCGGTGGGCTTTCATTCCGAATGGGCATCTATTATACGATTGTCTTGTATCCTGAGGAGGGGTGTTATAGGACATGAGAACCTAATGGTACCTCCATATAATAGGACATGAGAAACTAAGGATACTTCCAAATAATAGCAGATGAGGGTCCAGGACACAGTGGGCAACCAGGCAGACATGATCGAAAGTTCTATTTTCCAAAGTTCAAATATTGGAATGAATACATCTATGGTTAATCTATCTTACTCTAAAACTAGATTTCCAGAAATCAAGTCAAACTCTGAAAAAGTTCATGGTCAAAAAATTTGTTCATAAATCGTTAATTATACGGAGAAGATTTTTGTTATTAACTTATTAAAATATTTTAAAATGAAAAACTATCTCAAAGGAATGACTGATTCATAAGCTTCATTGTATGAAAAAATTATTTCCATCGAACAAGAAATGGTGTAGAAAAAAAGCAATTACTGGGCCAAAAGTAGGTGCAAAAATCGGTCATACCGTATTTTGTGAACTCCCAAAAGGTTTTTAATCCGATTGGGCTGAAACTTTCACCAATTATTCTCCTATACATGATTTATTGTTGGCCATAGCGCCATGTCGTACCAGTGAACAGAAACGGTGCTAGTGGTTTCTTAAAAAACTAGGCTTCTGCTCCGAAATCGTTAGTTTTGCGAATACGGAGGTATTTTTATGCAAAAACCAAAGTGATATTTGGAATCAGCTCGTCGAGTTGCATCGAATCATGTATAACAATAAGCATTTTTTCAGGAAAACAAATTGGGACTTTTGCTAGATATAACTTCGAAAATTGGTCATTCCATACTTTGCTAACCCTATAAAGAGATTAAGTCCAATTGATCTGAAATTTTTACCGATTATTCTTCTATATGTGATATATCGTCGGGCTTAGCACCACCTGGCGCTGAGGAATCCAGCCTACGCTAGAAGTTTTCCAGAAATCCAGGCTTCTGCCCCTGAATCCATATTTTCTCGACTCCGATAGCATTGTGGCGCAAAACAAATGTGATATTCGGAATCAGCGAGAAAAACTGCATCGGATGATGCATGACAGAAGACATTCCCTACCAAAAAAAGTTTTTCGAAAATCTTGGTTTGGCTCCCCCTCAGGTGTTTCACTCCGAAAAATTTTTTTTCAAAAAATACTTTATTTTCGTAAATTCAATTTTCTGAGTAATATACAAACACTTCTGAGTAACGGCCACCCGTTTTAGAACACAAAAGTTCCATGTCCGCCTGCTTCATGAAAGTTGCCCACTGTGAAGGGATACCTTCAAATAATAGCAGATGAAGACCTAAGGGTGACTCCAAATAATAGGACATGAAAACTTAAGGGTACCTCGAAATAATAGCACATGAGGACCCATCAGTATCTCCACATAACAGGAGATGAGGACCTAAAGGTATCTGGAAAATACTAAGACATTAAGACCTGATGGTACCGCCTAATAATAAGACATGAGGATCTAAGGATACCTCCAAATAATAGCAGATGAGGATCCAAGGGTGCCTTCATATAAGAGCACATGAGACCCTAAGGGTACCTTCAAATAATAGCAGATGAGGACCTAATGGTATCTCCAAATAATAAGACATGAGGACTTAAGGGTACCTCCAAATAATAGGACATGAGGACCTAAGGGTACCTTCATATAAGAGCATATGAGGACCTTTGGATACTTCCATAAATAAAATACAGATCGGTCAAGAATATACCCATTGGCACTGCTACCCAGTTTCAGCCCCAGAACTGGCACTGGTGTATGCTAATGGATATCCTGGGAGTACGATGGGAATCCTGGGAGTACGATGGAAATTCGGGGAGTACAATGGAAATCCTGGGAGTACAATGGGAATCCCAGGAGTACAATGGAAATCCCGAGAGTAAAGTGGGAATCCAGAGAATCCCGGGAGTACGAAATCCGCCGTTTCCCCTAGATTATTCTCTTATTGCCTTACTTCGTTATATCCTCAACTTCCTGTAGTATCCCCCTTTATAGACTTTTTCCCCTTCTAGTTTTCTCCATCTTATACCCTTGCCGCGTTATGACCTTATAGTCTTGTTACCCTAGTCCATTATTGTCTTATTCCTCTGAAGCCTTACTCCCTTATAGTCTTCTTTGACCTTTGACTCGAGACAGAAACACATACACACTGAGCATTATATATATAGATTGCCTTACTCTCCTCAAAGCTTATGAGTGCTCCAACATAATAGTCCTTGATGACCTATGGATGCTCCACATAATAGCCCTTGAGAAGACCTGTAGGTATTCCCATAGGATGGCTCTTGAAGACTTAAGGTGTCCGAAAATAATAGTCTTGGGGACCTATAGCTATCCCAAAGAACGGCTGCTCAGGACCAAGGGTACTTCCATACAATATCGCATGAGGATCTATGGATACTCCCCATAAAGTAGCCCGTGAGGAAGCCTGTGGCCACCCCTAGGATCGACCTTGAGGACTTATGGATACCTTGATATCATAGCTCTTGAAGACTTATGGGTACATTCATGGATAGTTCTTGAGGACCTATGGGTATCTCCATATAATAGCTCTTGATAACCTATAGGTACCTCTGTATAATAGTCGATGAGGACCTATGGGTCCCCCATCGCATAGTAGTTCCTGGTGCCAGAGTTGTAACCGGTCCGGCCCGGTGGAGGTCATTCAACCGGCCGGAATTTGCCGGTTTTTTGTCGGTTGCAGATTGTTGACACAATACATTAATTCTTTTTTTTTAGAAGAGTACTGCATGTCTCTTCATGCTTTTTTAAAGAAAAGGAGTACAATTATTTTTAAATATAAAATTTTCAAAATTTTTTCTTCTGAATGTTTTCCAAAGAGAAAATAAAACTATCTACTATTAAAAAAACAAATGAACTGTCACATATGATGCACTGATATGCTTTTATCGTTTTTTTTGCTATTCATACTCTTGAGTTTTTGTTTTTCTGTATTTATATATATTGTTTTATACGAATTTTGAATTGAAACAAGAGAAGAAATAAAAATGGCAGATTGATTTGCGTGGAAGGGCATCATTTTTCGCACAACGGAATTCAATTTTAAAAAATGCTCTTTAAATTTTTCACATGAAGAATCTACTTCATTGCCAACTAGCTTAGTCTCGTGATATTAAAAAAAACGTACTGAGCTATGCTATCTTCACAACACATAACAAGGACTCGTATAGGTACCTATTGTTACCATGATAAAAATTTTGTTCACTGAACAACATTATGAAATCGCCCGTTTTTTGCCGGTCTAGAAATTTTTTTTAGACCGGCAGATCACCAGCCGGACCGGACCGGTCTAAAATTTAAACCGGCCGGACCGGACCGGTCTAATTTTTCTTGACCGGTTACAACTCTGCCTGGTGCCTTCCTCTTATAGCCTTATTTGAACTTTGGCCCCGCATAGACACACACTGAAAAAGCTTGTTAGCGCAGCCCCATTGGGACTGAAATGTGGAACTCACATATACTCTATAGCCTCATTAAACTAATACAAAATATGTAAAAGGACAAACCTCTCGTAGACTATAGCTGTTTTGTAGGATAATCGAAAATCAGAGTAAGAACTTTTCTAATTTCTGCATTTCGAACAGAAACTTTTTTAAACAGGCGCCCTATTTTTATTTTGCATTGTTGCTATTCGCTCATTATCTTTCATTTTTTTTTGTTTCTGCTTTAATTTGACGTTATTATTATTCTTCATCATCGACTATCTCATAAATCAGACTATTATAACAATGCACTATATATGCATCAGTAGATCTTACCGTACTACTATATAGATCCGAATCAACTCGTACATGGTAATATCGTTTATTTTTTAAACTGATAAAAAGATCGAATCATGTTTTTCATATTGATTATATGATTACTATGACAGATCACTCTATTACTACTCTTCATTTTTCATTTTTAAAGTACAAATTTAAATTCTAAAAAAGTTGACGATTCCACTATTAAGAACTTTAATAGATATATTATAATTTTCCAAATATTAATGAAGGCGTTGAAATATTGTATAAGAGTCGAGCTCATATTCTTTATACTGTTCAACTCCTTTTTTTTTATTAATAAACAAATCCGAAGCCTGTTGCGTGTAGTTGCTGAGATCTGTAATGGGATCTGTCTGTAATGGGGAGATGTCTGTAATGGGGAGATGTCTGTAATGGGGACCTGTCTGTAATGGGGGATATGTCTTAATGGGATCCCTGGTTGCTAAGTGTCTGTAATGCAGAGGGGGGAGGGGGAGCCGCCAAAACTTCGACTTAAAACTTACGCTCACTATTTTCTTCGAAAACATACGTGAGTTCCACAAAATATGTGTATAGATATCTTAGCAAATCCAAAACTATTTGGTAGATTTGTAAAAGCCACAAAACAAATCCAAACCCAGGTCCCAAATCTAAACTACAAATCTAAACAAATGCCCACACGTGTGGGTGTGGGTGCGGGTGCGAGTATGCGTGCGGGCTGGGAGTGGATGTGGATATGGGTGCGCATGTGGATGTGGATATGGGTGTGGTGTGGGTGTTGGTGTGACTATGGGCAAAAACAAACATTCACACCCGCACCCACACCCACCCACACCCACACCCACACTCACACACACACCCACACCCACACTCACACACACACCCACACTCACACACACACCCACACCCTCAGTATGAATTGAGTTCATCTCTTTAAAATAGATTTTTCTTTTATTGAGTAGAAGACACAACAAATTTGTATCTTCATAATTCTCATCTCTTCGTTTTAAAATTTCAATTATGCAAAAATTTATACAATATGCAAAACACATTTTTAATAATAAAATTCGATCATCAACATACCTGAGTTATTTTAACAATCGATGTATTAAGTGTACATTATGTGTAACTATAGTACTATTTACTTTGCTCCATATTTTTCAAAGTGGATTATTTTTAATGAAACATTTTACACAAGATGAGAATAAAAGTACTATGATAAAACTTGATATGAATATTTGGCAAAGTCTTATTAATGATTCATCTAAGAGAAAAATTCCTAGATATATACATCAAATTTGGATCTCATCTATAAATCATGAAGAAATGTATGATAGATTTCGAATAGCTGCCAATTCTTGTATTGAATTGCATTTGAACTATAACTACACACTATGGACTCATGAAAAAATTAAAAGTTGGTTAACAATTTATTATTCATGGTTTTTACCCATTTATGAAAATTATCGATATGATATGCAACGAATTGATGCTGTGAAATACGTTTTATTATTTCATTTTGGTGGTATCTATATTGATCTTGATCTAAAATGTAAAGCTCAAGATTTGATTAGTGCTATGTTGCCTTTAGATAAACGAGATAATGAACCTGATATTATACTTCATATGGGTGCAGAGGGAATTTCAGCAAATACAGACATCATGGCAGCAAAACGATTTCATCCATTTTTTAAATTAGCTGTTAGTCAACTTAAAGCAGCAAATCGTTGGTTTTATTTATACCATTTAACTATAATACTTAGCGCTGGTCCGACTTTTCTTTATGGTATTTATCGACAATTCCCATTTAAAAATGTTTTTTATTACGTACCAAATAGTTTATTATTTGGAAAATTAATTGAATGTGTTGGTGGAGAAACATGGCATGGTCAAGATACTATACTTATAAGTCGTTTTATGCAAAACAAAATGTGGTCAAGTTTTATGGCATTTGTTTTAATTATAATTTTATGTGTTATTTTTAAAATTTTAAAGAAAAAACGATATCGATAAAAGGTAGTCATTATATTTGGATTTAAACTTCATTAAAATTTCTTTTATCTCTGTTCTTTTCAATTCAAGGCGAAGATAATCATATCGTTGTTGCAACCGGTAACGGTAACTGGCAGGTCTGGCTCGGTTCGGTCTGGGATTCTTTACCGGCCGGTACAAATGAATTTTTTCAGACCGGTCGGTCCAGAATTTTTAATTTTTTTTTGCTTATTTTTTCCTCATTTTCTTGTTAAAATTGAGTATAGAAGTGTTTGTTTTTGAATATCAAATAAGTTTTACTAGTATCCATGACAATTTCTATGGAAAAACATGGATTATACTGTTTATATTTAGTCAATAGTCATCGAAATACACTTCATATATTTTGTCAAGTGATTTTCTTTCCAAGTTCTATGATCAAAACAAAATGGAGCAGCGGTTCGTCATTCTAATTTATTAGTATTTCCCTCTAATTTGTATTATTTATAATATATCCTTCCGTTACAACTCTAGTGCAAAGCTTCATAAGTTTTTACTCTGCTATCAATATGTGACAAGAGCGTGATAATTTGAATCTGTTTTATTTAAGCCTATACAGATATTAACCCTCAAACGCTCCTCTGGAGTCCGTCCGAACTCTAGTAAGGTTAATTTTAATGCTGCATACACACGAAATGAGTTCAGATGTTGCCTTGCTAGATATGATCTTACGATGTTTAGTAGAGTTCGTTGAAACCATCAGTCGATCATATCGTTTTATTTTTTTAACGATAGAATGACTCGAAGTACAGATGGCGCTTATTGTACCCTAAGGTGTTGGTGTGGGTAAAGAAGTGGTATACGGGCATACACCCACACCCACACCAGCAAATCATGGCTGACAATTCATTCCGTTTTCTTTTCTAGTGGGATGTGGATGGATGTGGGCATAGGTGTGGTTTTACTTTGTGTTCGCACACATCCTACCCGTAAACACTCACACCTACACTCAGCTTAAAAGATGGTTCTATAAGCGCTGCAAAGTTCTTAATATCACAACTACTAAAAACCGCTGTAGCATTAATATTTAAAGGAGGAAAGGTATACCTCCTCAACATATCCTCAAATTTCGTCAGTTCCTAGAGAGGGCCGCCAAGGATCTCAGGTTAAAATAACTCGTGGGTTGGATGCGTTTTCGTGGAATTATGAAGCTTTCAAAATTTGAAAAAAATTAATTTTTCTAGCTATTTTGATATCAGACAAAAGAGTGATTCTTACCGTGTCCGTTACTTTTAAAATGCCTTCCAAAAAACTTTGTCACTAAAAACTTGTTCACCTGTACGGTATGACATCTTTTTCTTTTAGAAAAAACACTGTTTTCCTAAGTTGGAGGCTTCACAATGTTTCCGAAGATTGGTGTGAGTGTGCACGTGACTCTTCTTTTCATAAAATAGCACACCCACACCCTAAAATCATTTTCCGTCAATTCCTATCAAAAATCGCTCTTTGCAGTATTTTTCCATTATATAAATGCTCTGCTTTATCATCGAGTAAAACAAATTTGGTGTTCATCATTAGCAAAATCAACAAAGGTAGCGGTGTGGTGGCGTGGGTGTGGGTGTCCAGTGACTGTGGACGGGCTTGTCGGTGTGTGGGTGTGAGAGTGTGGGCGTGGGTTTGGAGTGCGGCTGTGGGTGGGTTTGAGTAGGTGTGGATGCGGGGTGCGGGT